CCAAGCTGGTTTTTAACTCCTGGTCTCAAGCAATTTTCCTGCCTGGCCTCACAAAGTGCTAAAATTATAGGCATGAACCACCATACCTTGCTACACTTTTTTTTTTATTTCTAATTTTTTTCTCAAAACAGGGTCTTGCTATGTTGCTCAGGCTGGAGTGCAGTGGCTATTTACTGGAGTGATCACTGGGCATTACAGCCTTGAACTGACCTCAAGTGATCTTCCCACTTAAGCCTCCTACGTAGTTGGCACTACAGCAGTGTGCCACTGTCCTGACTTTGAAATATATTTTCTAAGTCAGTATTTTACAAGTTTACCTGAAGTTTTTGCTTAATGGAAATGAAAACTATGTGACAAGTTTATGAAAGTCTTCACTATGTGGCAGTGTTTAATTAGCCTTTGGCGATGGAGATTAAAACTTGTTTATATAGGAACTGAGAAGTAGGAGATAATCCATTTTCTTATCTAGGGCTAATGATTACTGTCAAAAATTTTGCAGTAGTCTCTGAGGGCTTCATGGATGATATGCTAAACAACAGAGGTGGATGGTAAATTCAAAGCAGTTATATTCTTAGTATTTGGAGAACTATGTGAAGTGTTTTTCATAGTGTTGAAATGGCATTGAAAACTGGGAAGTTAAATAGGTGTTGCTAAAGAGCTTTTAGTTTACTTTGTTATGTAATCAGGATCTGCAGTATAAATTGGGTTGATGTAATGGAGGATCTTTTGGGAGTTGATGTAAGATGTAGAAATTAGAAACTCTTGGAAAAACTAATTTAAAAATGTTCCTCTTCATCAATTTGAAGTTAAAGATAAGGAAAGAGTTAGCTGCTAGATTTTCCCAAATAAAACATTTCTGTTTATTAGCTGAAACAGTGTCACATTTAGTGATCTGTTACATTTGAATTATTATTTAATAATTTTAAGTTATTTTGATACAGGCTTTCGTGGTGTACCTGCAAGGTGGAAAGTTGATGCTGAGGACCTCAGAGGGAAAAATAAAACTGAATGGAAAGATTTAATAATGCTGATTGCCTGAATTTGAGTTCTCTGAGTTTTTAATAGCACAATTGAAAAACTGATATCTGGGGCAGTAGTGACCAGAACTATACTAACCCTTTGCACTTGGATGTCCCCTCTGAGGGGACATCGTAAATCTAGCAAACCACTTGGATATCCCTTCTCAGGGGACCATAAGGAGATTGATGGTGATTATACAGGACAAACTTATGCCAGTGCAAAATCTTGAAGCTTGTATGTTACCTTGAAGTTTTCCGTTTAAATTGCACAAAAAGCAAATAAAAAGATGAATATATGCAAAGATATATGTAAAAACTTATCATCTGGCATTACAGTGTATGAAATGCTTTCACTGTGGTGCACAGACTGGTCAATAAATTACGTGTAATTAATGTGGGAGGAAGAAAACAAGACTGCATTGTCTACTTGAATAGATAAAACACCAGGTGGAAGACATCAAATTATTATTGGACACAACATGTATCAATGAACTTGCAATGAGTGTTGGTGACTGTTTCGCACGTTAGAAAAATGTAAGACATAACATTTAAATTTTTTTTGTGATAAATAATTTTCTCAATGTCCAAAATGGCACTGTAAGCCAAATGTCATTGCAATAAAATAATTTATTTCAGCACTGTACTACTTAATATGAAGTGATTCATTTTTCACTATTTTGTAAAAAAGTGCTATTAAGTTGCTGGTAGGTGTCTGTGAGATGTCTCCGAGTGCAAAGGACTAAGTTTCTTAGTTAACTCAAATGAGAACTATCTTGGCTTCAATTGGATTATCCAAAGAAGACCATTTTGAAGAAGTGTTACATGTATTTTTATTGACATCTTAATCAAATCCAAAAGATACCTCTGACCCCTAATATGGCAGTATTAAGATTACTTTGGTTTTTACATAATACAGATAGTGGTAAATATTTTGTGAAGCTGTTTTTATAAGGAAGATATTTTGTAATTTTTTTTGTCTGTTTGAGTTGGAGATTCACTTTGTCGGCACAAGCTGGAGTGCAGTAGCATACTCATGGCCACCCCAGTGTCGACCTGCTGGGCTCCGGTGATCCTTCCACCTCAGCCTTCCAAGTCGCCGGAACTACAGATGCAGGCTACCACACACCCAGCTAATTTTTTTTTTAATTGTAGAGACAAGGTCTCGCCAAGTTGCCTGGACTGGTCTTGAACCCGCGGGCTAAGGCAATTCACTTGCCTTGGCCTTCCAGAATGTTGGGATTACAGGCTGAGCCACTGAGCCTGGCCAGTTTTTTAAGTTTAATGGATTTACAAAGATGGAAACATGAACAATTAAAAAAAATAGAAATATAGTTTTATATAGTATCTATTTTGGAGATTAGATTTGGAGTACCAGAAAAGATAGTAATTACTAATTCTCTATCTAGATTTTAAAAATATTTGGGAAAATTGAACTTGTGGATTAATTGCTAGTTTTTTACATCAGTGTTTAGAAAAGCACTTGGTGTTGATTGGCTGTGAGATGGGAAGGGTAGGAAGAAGGTGGCAGATTTTAGGTTTATGAAACATATAATCATTCCATAAATATACATTAAGTGCTTACTGTGTGGCAGGAACTGTATAGAGATCTAAAAAGGATTTGGCTTCACACAGAAACTTTAGTCTCCTTAACGGACATACTATTTAGTGGGAGCCATGATTAAAACAGACTAAGTTGACTTCTAACTCTGTGCTCTGTTTTATAAAAATGATCAACAGTTAATGAAACCTATGCTTTAGCAAATTTAGTAGTCTTTTTTTACCCATCCTCGTTGTAGGTAATAGATTACATAGCATGTCCTTGAATCTATATCATTTTGGTTTGACTTGATCTTTTATTTTTGCAGACTGTTATATTAGTATGCAAAAGTACCCACAGAGGCACCTGTGTCTAAGTGTACTGTAGAAGTTCTAAAAACTTTATTATCTGAAAACTATCAGAGGCTGAATGTGGTAGAAATAAAGTTGTTTCCTTATGGAAGATAATCATATTCTTTGTGCTATATGACATGTTAAGACATTTATGGAAAATAAGATATGGTATAGTATCACCCAAATTTTATGGTAAGATTAGAGTTGAGGAATTTAATTTGGAAACTTAGAAATTAATTGCTGTCAGCACATGCACAAATATAAAAATTTTTTTTTTTTCCCCTTTAAGTAAATGGAAAGGAATGTCTATTTTTCCTTCCGAAATAAAGGAAGATTATGGTATGGAAAATTTCAAGCTTTGATTTCTTGATGTATGATATCATACCTCTAATTTTTCTTTATTCTCTCTATATAAGAAATTTCAGATCACCAAAAAGTAACTCTTTCATTTGGGATATAGTTTCTAAACTCTACCTAGAAGCAGTTCCAGAATCATATACTTGGTTTTGGTATGTGTGTGTATGTTAAAATATGAGCAAAGGACAAAATATAAATACTATTTGGCAATGTATTGATAGTATGCGGGAGTTTAATTTAGGTTGAGGACATTGTGTCTTTGGCTATTCTTGTTAGATCTACAGGATATTATTTTCTGCCTGCTACCAAGAAGTAATTCTTGCATTGGATCCCTTTAATATAGTTACTTGTAGGGCCATTTGTCATCTGTATCATATATAATACATTTGAGAAGTTTTATGTCTAGTTAGTCATCATTGATGATGATTTTGGCAGTTACATGAGGTAGACACAATGCAGTCATGTACTGCATAACAACTTTCAGTCAACAATGGACCGTGTATACAACAGTGATCTCATAAGATTATAATACCATATTTTTACCATACTTTTTTTGCTTGGATACACAAATACTTACCATTGTATTACAATTGCTTGCAGTACTCAGTCCAATAACATATTGTACAGGTTTGTAGTCTAGGAGCAATAGGTTATACTATACAGCCTATGTGTGTAGTAGGTTATATCATCTAGATTTATGTGAGTACGTGCTATGATGTTTGCACAATGATGAAATTGCCTGACAGTGCATTTCTCAGAACGTATCCTTGTTTTTAAGTGACACATTACTGTACTAGTTTTGATTAGGGTGGCCATGTAACTCATCCAAATTGAACACTTTTTAGAATGAAAAGGAGTGATTTTAATAATTACTTCATAACAACAGATGTAAACCAAGACTGGCTCAGGCAAACTAAGATCTGTAGTCATCTTTATTAGGATTCTTTTGATTACAAGTAACAGAAAACACAATAAACCAGTTGGTAAGTATTGTTAGTATTTGTGCATCTAAACATATCTAAACATAAAAAGACACGGTAAAAATATGTTATGATAAGGAAATACATTGGCTTATGTATCTGAAAAGACCAGTGTTTGGGAGTGCAACAGGTGTGATTCAGTAAGGACTTTGGCTTTGTTTTCTAGACTCTGCCTTCTATGACTGGCTTCCCTTTTAGTTATTGGATGGCTGCCAATAGCAATCTGGGGCTATGTTCTTCTTCGTTTATGACCAGCAGGGGAGAGAAGCCTGCTTCTCCCATAAACAAAGAACGAGTCTTGAGGCTTTGTGTTTCTTAGATACTTCTGAACTAATCTCTGTGGCAAAGGGAATGCCATGTGCTGATTATCTTAAGCATGGGTTATCTGAATATCACCGAGGAAAAGATAGAAGTATCTGATGACTAGTCAGAGTCCATTCAGGAAACTGATTGTAATGTCAGTCTATCCAGGAAAGCATTGCAGTTTAAATGAAGAGAAAAGGGTTAGGAAGCAGTCATAGTGTTCACTGCAAAGTCCAGTGCTGTTGTTTGTTTGCATTTTCTCTTAGGCATCTGTTAGTGAGTTCCTGCAAGAGACTAGCATACTGCAGATGATTTTTTTTTTCAAGTGAGAATTTGTAGTATAAAATGAGTTACTAGCCTGAAAATGGGAGAGAAAAAGAAAATTTGCCACCTCATTTCCTCTTTTTTTCTATTAAGACTATAATAATGGTTGATTTTCTCTTTTTGCAGACTAATAGGGATGCCAAAGGAAAAATATGATCCTCCAGATCCTCGCAGAATTTATACCATCATGTCAGCAGAGGAGGTAGCCAATGGGAAAAAATCTCACTGGGCAGAATTAGAAATCTCTGGTGAGTAGAATCCAAAGCACTTAATCTGGGATATAATAGTAATAATCAAAAAAGAGTTGAGTATTTCTTTTTGTACATTTTTAATTTGATAGACTAATTGAAAAGATACAAGATGCTGAGACATTAATACTTAATTTGTCTGTTTTATTTGTGACTAAATATCTTTGTTTCCACTCTTTCTTTTGAGAGTAATTACACTGAGCAACAGTTGACATCTGGAATTGAGGATACTGGGAGTTTAGTTTCTAAGTAAAAACAGGTTTTTTGTTATAAAAAATTTTGTTTTGGCTATTTTAGGGTAATTATTCTGCAAATTCAAATCTTTGACATCCTTCTATCTAGAAGTTATCTATTTATTCTAACATTTGTGATAGCTATTTTACAGGACCTTAATACATGTTTAGGATTTGTTAAAAAAGATTGTGATTCCTCAAATCTTGTAATTTCAGACTAATGATGAGAAAAATGTTAGTTAAACTCAAACTGAAGGACATTCTGCAAAGCACCTAACTCTAGTAATCCTCAAAATTGTGAAGATCATATAAAACAAAGACTGGTCATATAAAACAGACTGGAATAGATTAGGAAGACATGGTAACTAAATGCAAATGGTAGCATGCATTGAATTCTGCAACAAAAAAAAAAGAAAAAACAGGTGAATTCCAAATAAAGTCTAGAGTTTAATTAATAGGAATGTACCATTGTTTTTTTCCCAGTTTTGACAAGGGTACCTTGGTAATATAAGGTTCTAATATCAGGGAAACTAAATGAGAAGTATACAGGAACTCTCTGCATTATCTTGGTAACTTTTTTGTAATCTAAAATTATTTCAAAATTAGACTGTGTGCAGTGACTCATGGCTGTAATCCCAGCACTTTGGGAAGCTGAGGTGAGGAGTGCCTGAACCCAGGAGTTTGAGACTAGCCTGGGAAACTTGGCAAGACCTTGTCTCTACAGTAAATAAAAAAATTAACCAGGCATGGTGAAGCACATCTGTAGTCTCAGCTGCTTGGAAGGCTGAGGTGGAAGGATCAGATCACCAAGCCTAGCAGGTCTAGGCTATAGTAGCCATGAATGTCCTGCTGCATTCCAGCCTGGGCGACAGAGTTATACTCCAACTCAAAAAAAAAAAAAAGCATTGCAAAAGTCAGTTTATTAAAATAATCAAATATACATACTATTTTCTTCTTATGAATTGATACAGTACAGATTGTATATAGAATGTAGTTTTTTCCCCAGTAGACGTTCATTTAGAAGAGTTAAACCCACACTGTAATGTCAGTAACAAGAATTACTTGCACATTTAGCTAAAAGGTAACTGGATGGATTGGGGATTCATAATAAAAAGAATGAATATGAGCAAATTCTATTAGGTTAATCCAAGGTTTCTCAGCCTTGACACTATTGACACTTTGGACTGGACAATTCTTTGTGGTGGAGGGCTGTTGTGTGCATTGTAGGATATTTAATAGCATCCCTGACCTCCACTCATTAGATAGTAGTACCTCTTTAATTGTGGCACTCAAAAATGTCTCCAGATATTCCAAAATGCCTTGGGGAGCAAAATCGCCCCTGGTTGAGAACTATTCTTAAACCCTGGGTAAAAGTGAAATTTATTTTCACTTGAAAACTTTATTTCCTTTTAAATTGCAAAATCCTATTTGCCACTTTAAGTCTGATTATAGACATTAGGAAGGAACCTGCTGTAGTAAGAACCCCAGACAGAAGGTAAAAGTTAGAATTTACTACTGAATAGCTATATGAAAAGTAACATTTCTTCTTTGAGATTTTGTGCACTGTATATCTTCCACTGCTTTTTAATCAAAATCTACTGTTTGAAAATGACATATCATTAAAATACCACTTTACTTTTGCAAAGTTTATAAAATATCTTCATATAATTTTGTATAAAATTACAGGTAAGACAATGTTCCATTTTATAGAAATTGAGGCTAGATGATTTGCCCAAATTATGTAGCTAATAAATGGTAAAAATCAAGACCCTGAATCAGGGCTTCTTTTTCTAATAGAGGGCTTCTTTTTCTAATAGATGTCCTACCATAGCTATCAGACGTTGACTGACTGATAGAACTTAATGAATGACTTTTTTCTTGCGTATGTTGATGCTTAATGCAAAATCTTAAGCCAGAGTTGTTAATCTATAATTGTAACACCAGAAGGCTGGGGAAGATGTCTCCTTTGTGGATAAAATGGATTTTTTTGGTGACTGATCCAAGGTTAGTGCTAAGTCATGGTAGTTTGCTCTTGTTTATTTAAGGTTTGCAGAATAATTCAGACCCTTCATAAGGATTAATCTTGCACTATTAATTTTCATGGAGCATGTGAGATATTTTGTTAGGACTATGTCTTAAAAACAAAATCCTGGACTGTTCTATCACAAAAGCTCAATTCATGCTCGTTTTCTCCTGACTCCAAGAGTCTTCACATTTTGCCACATCTCATTTAATATGTGGAAGGATCATGAGAAAGAGTACTAGTCAGGTAAAGTGGCATGAAATGAAAGGAGGACCAGGTGTGTTTGGAAACAATCAAATGGCACTGAATGCAACGTTAAAATGTCAAAGATATAATATCTGTCTGTATTTGCAACCTCTTTTACCACTTTTTAGTCCTTTCAGTTTAGCCTTCATCTTGGACCTCGAGTTTAGGCTTTAATATTTTGCTTTTTAGGTAGAGTGCGGAGCTTAAGTACATCACTTTGGTCATTGACACATTTGACAGCACTGCACCTAAATGACAATTACCTTAGTCGCATTCCACCTGATATTGCCAAGCTTCATAATCTGGTTTACCTGGATCTGTCATCCAATAAACTCAGAAGTTTACCAGCAGAACTAGGAAACATGGTGTCTCTCAGGTAAGGAAATAATACAGACATGACTCGTTACATAAAATTCTAAATTTAAGAAAATTAGATGTTACTTGTGTGAGAAGGTCAAATGATAAACAGCCTAAGCATAGTTTTTGAGTTATCTTCTATGAACATCTCTTTCCTTTAAATCTGTAAGTTCTTGACTGTGAGTATGCTTATATTACCAGTTTCTTTTTTTTCTCTTTTTGATTTTTGATTTTAAAGACTTGGGGTACAATTCAGGGTTAGGTATGCAAATGTTCATTATGCAGGTACCCTACCAATTTCTTTTGACACACTTGGAGTGGGGCGGGGCTAAAATAGTAAGTCCCATTTTAAACTCAAGCCTTATAAGACTAATCAGAAATAATTGGGAAAATATGATTTGTAATAAGTAAAACTCTTAGAATCATATCTCTATTCTATGAGACAGGTATATTTATAATTTATATTTTAACTCCTTAAGGAAACCTTGCAACCTGATGAAATGGATTTATTTTTAGTCCTTAAAGGATTCTTTAAGAATTTCTTCATAGGAAAAATTTTGCAGGAATATTAAGACCTTGTATAAATGTTCCCAATGAAAACAAGAATTGCTTTTCTACAATGTTTATCTGCCAAATATTTTTTTAAAAATTGCTATCACATGCTTAAGATTAAAAATATTGTTTTAGAATCTTTTTCCTCATCCCCTTACTGGTTTGTTTTGTTTATTTACTTTTGGCCATCCACTAATGAGTATGCTATTTATTTTTTCTGTAGTCTCCTCAAAATTTCACAATCATAAATATAGGTCTTATTTATGCTATCCTATTCTTATCTGTATTAGCCTATGCTTTATTTTAATATTTATGTTCTGTGTCAGTGATTGCCCATCATAGTATGTTTTTTACCTTCTCATTCACATTTTGTATTGAATTGTTTTATTTCTTTCATACACTACCTTGTTTTTTTGCATTAATTTCTTTATTTTTTGGTTTGTTTTGATAGTATTTTGACATGACTAGAGTTGAATTCAGTTATAAAAATGATACAGGTGATTGACTATTAATTATAGTTTAATTCTGAAGTTTGTGTAAGTTTTACTTTTTTCTATTAGACTCAGTTCTGTTGTCTTTGGATACTAAGGATATCTGTCACTTTCATTAGCATTTGGTAGGCATTTTGGGTGAGAAAAAAGGGAGTAGATTTAGTCTGAGAATGATGTGCATTTCCTATACCTTTACTCTGTAGTAGAGAATGAGTAAATCATAGATACAGTTAATAATTGTGGCGATTACATGTTTTATAGTACTTTACACTATACAGCATTTTTGGATGAGCATATAGAAATGTGCCTTAATGTAAATAATCACTCATGGTATATTACAAGGATGGTTAAGAATGGCAAATGTAGATATTAATAAAGTTTTTGTTTGTTTGTTTGTTTGTTTTTACATAGGGAATTGCTTTTAAATAACAATCTGTTACGGGTTTTGCCTTATGAACTTGGACGGCTCTTCCAGCTACAAACTCTAGGTTTGAAAGGTTAGTGATTTTAAAAAAATGATAAGTGTTAACATTCATTATTGAGGTGTTTGAGGTCAGATCAGGTTTTAATATGATGTTGAGAATGTGACAGTGCCTACTTTCTTTTGAAAAGAAGAACTTTTTTTGGGTATCAAATTGAGCTTCAGATTTCAATGTGTCATAAAAATTTTAACAAACTTGCATGGGGAAATTTTTTTTTTTTTGTATTTTGACTTGAATTTTATATAAAACTCATTTCTTAGAGGAGATATTTTAAATTAGCACTATAGTTTTTCCCATTGTCCTTTTTTTAAGGATGACTTTATAACAAAGTAAGTATAAGGCAGAATGCCTCATGTTTAGCTTTTGATAAAGTAGATAAAAGAGCATTGACATATGATTATAAGAAGGAAAACATTATAACAGTAAAAGTTAGCTATACCTAGTATAATTTTAGTTAGAATATATTAATCCAAAAATGCATGCTCCTCTCACCATCACTCTCAATTAGTCTGGGATGAAAGCTATACTCAATTCATATAAATACTGAAATTTGTGTAATTTTCTCTTATGGAATAGCCTATGAAAAAGAGTTTATCTTTTCATTCATAGGACTAAATACAAATGTACTGTATTTTCAAAACATTTTATTCTATGCTCGTTGGGAATGAGCATTAATCGAAGCCTTGTGTAAAGTATACACTTTCATATATTTTATTTTCTTTCTTCAGAGACTATTTGAGTCTCCATGAAAATGTTCTGCTTACATTTGTCTATGTCATATAATGAAATATTAAGAATGATATTTGAATAAACATGAAAAGAATGCTGATATTATTGTTTGAAATGATAGAAATGGTATTAGGCTTCCTTATATAGTTTCATAAGTTAGGTAATCATACGAACGGTCTGAATCTTATGTTTATAGTTTCTCTGCAGGATATTTTTATATTCTTTATAATCTGTGAAGTGCAGAGGAAGAATAATTATATCTAAGATATTTTCTTGAGGATTAACCGGAAGCATTTGAAGTTTTACTCTTAGGACATTTCCCCTAATTTTCTTTGTCTTCCATCTCATTCATACATAGTAGAAATTGCCAGCCAGCTAGAGTTGGAGTAGGGAAGTCTGTTCCTCTCTATTAAAAAATTATAGAATGGTTGTCATTTTATGTAGAATTAGATTCATGAAGGATGAAATTCACACTTCCATATTGATTATAAATAAATTATAAATTTTGGTGCCTACTAAGAATAATCCTTATTTTACTTTTAACATCAATCAGAGCAGCTATTTTCCTTCTCTTGATATTGATAGACAATAGCACATCAATGACTGAAGAATATTTACTGTTGAACCTAGTGGACTTACCCTTTTTACCAGGCAACATTCCTGAAAAAAACAACTATTAACATTGCTTTTTCTTTTATAACTCTATTCCATGTTATTTCGTGTAGAAAAAAACACCAAGAAAATTTGCACCAAGTATCAACTGAATCATTATGAATATCTGTTATTTCCTCAGTCTTTCATTCTGTTTTTCTAGTTAAAATGTTAGTTTTGTAAATTGTCTTTGGCTGGTCTTTGATTCTAGTGTCCTTTTGTTTACGGATTCATGTACATTAAAGTTTTCTTAGACCTCTAGTCTGTCTAGTCAGGCACCAGCTCTGCTTTACCAAGTGTAACTTAACTTAGTTCATGCCTGTGAATAAATTTTTTCACTTAGCTTCAATTTCTTATATGGTAAGCACCTATATGTAGTGCTTTTTTCTTTTTTAATAATCTGTTTAGTTTTTTGTCAATGCCACTTTCTATTCGGATGATCCAGTACAGAAGAGCAAGGAACTCCCAGAAATGAAAGAAAACTAGAGCTCAACTTGCGTTTTAGAAAAGTTTCAGATAGTAAAAACAGGAATGGCTTTGTGAAGCAATTGAAGGAATAAAATGTCCCTAATGAATGGTATCTTTATATTCTTAGGAAGGTAAAACTTGATATAACTTCTAAATCATCCTAATAACCACATTGTGGTACTTTGTGTTCCAAAAAAAAAAAAGAAAAAGAAAAGGAATGGAGCATTTAAAGCACTGTGATATATCTAAAAAGAAACAATGAGAATGGACTGCCTCTGAGACTTATTTTGTCTTGAAACTGGGAAAAAGGGTGCTTCTTCTCTATTTCATTTTTTTCCTTTGAAACGCAGATACTGAAATTTTAGTAATGATTTGGGTCATGCTGCCCCAACAAGCTAATTTTTAGAAATTCTATTTTGAGATTTGAGGAATGTGTGTGGAGGGTAGGTTATTTGAGGAGTTAGGATAAGATGGCCAATTTTAAAACTATAGACATGTTAAGTCCGAAACTTGGAAGTGTTCTCTGAATTCACTTAAAAGGAAGTTCCAAATGTATTGATTTATGGAATAAAAGGTGTAACTAAAAGCAATTCTCATATAGTTATTTTTAAGTAATTTATAATTCATACCTTAAGGTGTAAGGCAATGCTTTCTCTGGTATATGGGCCAATAAGTTGTCCTTGGGCATTAAACACTGAGATCCCAGGTGTTAAAAATATGTAGGACCTCGATAATTGTAAAAATTACAAGCTTTATTCCAGGAACTACTTATCTCCCTTAAAATAAAATATACCATGTCAGTGGGAGACTTTCTTTTATGTGCAAATTAGTTTTATTCTTGAAATACATCATAATATAAAAAAGTAACAACATAATTTTTTTGGAGTTGTAATCTTACTCTGTCGCCCAGGCTGGAGTTCAGTGGCACACTCATGGCCACCCCAGGGTCGATCTGCTGGCCTTGGCGATCCTTCTACCTCAGCCTTCCAAGTAGCCGGAACTACAGGCACACGCTCGGCTAACTTTTTATTTATTGTAGAGATGAGGTCTCGCTAAGTTGGCTGGGCTGGTCTCAAAACCACAGGCTCAGGTGATCCACTTGCCTTGGCCTCTCAAAGTGCTGGGATTACAGGCTGAGCCACTGAACCCAGCAACAACATACTTTTTAAAGAAAATAATTAAATGAACAACTGTACCCCCATTACCCAACATTTTTAATACCTTTAAAAATGCTCTTGGAAAACGTAATTGTCATTTATATAGGAAGCAAAATATTTATTCTTCTGTTATATATGAACTTTTGGAAATGAATTAGAAAAAGAGTAGTAAAGAAATAAACTAATAGTTTTTTAATAGGATATACAAATGACTTTAAAACATAGAGCTAATTAACTTTATGCATAATAATAGCAATGTAAATTGAGACTATATTAGTTACCATTTTTTACCTATCAGATTGGGGGATTTCAAATATTTGACAAAATAACTCTATTGGTGAGATTATGGGGAAATAGGCATAATCACACCTTGTCAGTTATAGAGCTCTTATACCTTTTAAGTTTCCTGTGTGCTTTTTTCACAATTACATCTTTCTGTCTTCTCCCAGAGGTTATTACTGTTTTGAATTTAGATAATTGGGTTTATATATGTATCTGTTAAAGATGCTTTAACCTTTATATAAATAGAATCACAATGAATCTAATTTTCCCTTTCTTGCATTTTATTCATATTGTTTTTATGATTCGGCCATGTTGATGTGTACATGTAATTACAACTTAGTTGTGTCACTGCTATGTTGTATTTTGATAATGTGAATATAATTTATTTATTCGTTCTGTTATAGATATTTAGATTGTTTCCATTTTGGTTACTATATGCAATATAGTCATGAACATTCTCCTTCATGTCTCCTTTTACAGTTTATAGGAGTGGAAATGTTGGGTTGTAGAGGTCTGTATGTGCTTAGCTTCATTAGGTAATGCCACAATGTTTTACAAAGTAGTCGGACTAAAATACACTCCTCGAATAATATACTTTCCATTTATCTGTATTCTTTCTAACATTTGATATTGTCAGTTTTTTAAGTTTTGCCAATTGTTGAATATGAAATACTTACTAATTTTATTCTTAATTTATGTTTTCCTAATTGCTGATAAGGTTGAGCATCTTTTCTTTTCTTTTTTTTTTTTTTTTGAGTTGGAGTTTCACTCCGTCGCCCAGACTGGAGTGCAATGGCTGCTCCCGGCCACCACAGCCTCCACCTGCTGGGCTCCGGTGATCCTTCTGCCTCAGCCTTCTGAGTAGCCAGAATTACAGGTGCACGTTACCACGCCCGGCTGATTTTTGATTTATTGTAGAGATGAGGTCTCTCTAAGTTGCCTAGGCAGGTCTCAAACCCGCGGGTTCAGGCAATCCACTCACCTCGGCCTCCCAAATCCCGGGATTACAGGCTGAGCCACCGAGCCGGGCTGAGCATCTTTTCATATGTTATTGGCAACTAATGGTTCCTCTTTGAAATTAATATTGAGTTTTTTAACTCATTTTCAATTGTATTATTTCTTATTAAATTGGAAGAGTTTTTAACTTTTTTCTATTTTGTATTATAACTATCAACTCCTTGGCTTTTTCTTTTGTTTTCTTTCTGTTATCTTCTAATGAGTAGATTTGATACAAAATTTTGGCATCTTGTGTCTTGATAAAAACTCCTACCCCACCCCAGATCAGAAGTGCATTATCTTGTATTATCTCCTAAAAGTTGTTAAGTTTTACTCTTCACAGTTAAATCTGTAATTCACTCGGAATTGATTTTTAAATATGATATGAGGGATGTAATTTTGGGAGGAATCCAATCTTTTTTTTTCCCTCCACCATGAGTAATCAATTTTCACAATGTCATTTAGTGAATAGGTTTTTTGCTTTGTTTTTTTTTTCCCCCTCACTGATCAGTCGTCTCCTTTCTCATATATCAACTGTGTCTAACTCTATTTTGGAGATCTCTGATCTGCCCAAGGCCAGCTTTACTAACCTTGCACCAATTACTACATTGTCTTGATTATTATTACGGCTTTATGTTAAGACAGATATCTGGTTTTGGAAATCTTGTCACATTTTTCTTTAACAGTATCTTGACAGTTTGGGAGCCTTGGCTCTTCCTCATACATAAGAAA